GAAGTGCATCTTAAATATTTCCCATTAGATATCTGTATCTCCTTTCCATTGTATTAAATGGAAAGTTTCTGTCTATCATGTTTTTAAAGTAAAAGCTATTTTATTTCTAAGCAGTGACTCCATCTGTAAGCTGCTTCACAGTCTATGTAACACAGAAGCTGGAGACTTTAACTAAGGCCTCTGTATTTTCACATCTCTAGCCCTTTGGAAGCCATGTTTAAAGTGGCCCCATTCTCAAATGAGAGTCTATCTGAGTAAACTAAAGGGTATTCTGTCATTTCTACCTTCCGTTACAGACAACAGGACTGTGGAGTCTGTGGGTTTAGCAAATGAGAAATAAACATAAGTAAATATTTTTGGAGAGAGGTCAAATGGCTTCTGTCTTCCAGGAATGCAATAAAAACTGCCCATGTCTCTCCAATAGGCTATCCTCCAGTTTTTTTTTTTTCTTTTGAGACGGGATCTCACTGTGAAGCAGGTCCCCACCTCCTGGGATTGTAGGCATGTGCCATTGTGTCAGGCTTTCTGAGAAACTAAACTGTGTTCAGATCTGTTTAGGATCTCAAGTTCCCTCCATCTCAAGAGTAAGGGGTTTGTTGTTAGAGCTCTCACCTTCTTGATCCTGCGTTTTCCTAGGTTGGTGGGTCAAAATGCTTAAAGAGTCTACATAGACTGTTAAGAGTCTGTCCACTGTGAGGCCCACTCTCCTCCCTCTAGAGAATGCTGACCTACAGTGTGTGCGTACTTCCCTGCCGTCAGAAGAATTCTTCTAGCACGTGTTGTGGAGCCAACTTAGTGGTCATCAACTCCTTTAGCTTGACTTCATCCTGGACTGTTCTTATTCCTCCATCAGTTATTACTGTTTCGTGTAGTAGTCTGGGTTGGCATCTCTGCTTTTCAGAATTTGAAATTCATTCTTCTTTGCCCTTCTAGCTTTTAAAATTTCTGTTGTGGAATCTGGTATTATTCTGATAGGCCTGCCTCTGTACGTGATTGGGTGTTTCTTTCTCGCACACTGCAGGACCCTTTCTGTTCTATACATTCAGAGTTTTAACTGTGATATGAAGTGGGGCGTTTCTTTTCTGGTCCCATCTAGTTAGTGTTCATATATGCCTGTTGTATTAGAGGAGCCTTTCCCAAGATTTGGAAAATTTTCTGCTATGGTTGTGTTGAAAATATTTTCTATGCCTTTGACATGAAGTTGTTCATCTTCTGTGCTCATAATTTGCAGATTTTATTTGGTTTTGTGTGTGTGTGTGTGTGTGTGTGTGTGTGTGTGTGTGTGTGTTCCAAAGAGCTTGCCTGCTCTGTTCACATGTTTAAAAAAGTTATCATTGGCCAGATGTGGTGGTGCACGCCTTTTATCTCAGTACCTGGGAGACAGAAGCAGGCAAGCATCTAGGTGTGTCTATGAGGGATTATCTAGATTAGGGTAACCAGGGTGGGAAGACCCACTGCATCTGTGGGAGTCCTAGACTAAATAAAAGACAGAACGTGAGATAAGCGTTAATTGCTCCCTGCTTCCTGATTGTGGCCACAGCGCCACCAGCCACTTCCAACTCTCGCTGCTGTTCATTCCCTGCCCTGTGATTTGTCCCATGGGCACAGTGCTACCAGTTGCTTCCAGCTCCTGCTGCTGTACCTCCCCTACCATGATGCAGTCCCTGAAATTGTAAACAGAATAAACTTTTCTTCCATTAAGTTGTTGTCATTTAGTATTTTGTCATAGCAACAGGACAAGCAAATGACTTGAGGAATGAAAGTTTCAAAGGCAGTTAGTTACAGCATAAGCTCCAACCTGAAGCCGACTGAAGATGGAGGTGTTGAGGGAAGTCACTGCCTCAACCAGTCTTTTCCTGTTCTTGGTGTTGTATCCAAAGAACTGTACAAGAGTACACACAGCAAAGCAACAAGAAGTTTTATGTAACAAGAAGGAACAAGACATACTGCAAAGGTCCAGCAGTCTACTTGAGCTAGAGTGCCTAAGACCATTAACTACTATTTGATGTATCATGGGTCTAGGAGTAGGAGTCAGTTGCTAAGGGATAAAGTGTGGGTGGTTCTCTGTTTTGATTGATAGGCTTGAGCTATGTATGCGGGTGCTGGGGCAGCGGGTGCAAGGGCAGCGTATGCATGGGCAGCGTGTGCAGGGGCAGCAGGTGCTGGGACAGCGTGTGCAGGGGCAGCGGGTGCAGTCACTGTATATGCAATTGTGAGGGGAAGGGAGAGGGAGGGGAGGGTGTGAGATGCTTAATTCTCATCTAGCATTAACAGGGAAGTCATATTTCATGCAGCTGATGTATTATTCAGAGGCATGGAGCAGAATATTAGATTAGTTAAATAGTTGATTTTTTTCCCCTATAAGAGAGTGAGTTTGTGGTTAATGTAGTAGAATTTGGTATGCAAATATTTTATAAGGTAAAAAACTAAAAATTTTATAATAGTATATTATTTTCAGTTTTTAAAAAGGTATGAGCTGGAGAGATGGCTCAGTGTTAAGACTACTGGCTGCTCTTCCAGAGGTCCAGGATTTGAAATCCAGCACTCACAGGTAGCTCACAAGTCTGTAACTCCAGTCTTAGGAAATCCTACTCCCTCCTCTGGCCTCCATAGGCACTGCATGTGTGTGTTGCACAGACATGAATGCAGGCAAAAGACCAATAAATATAAAAATAAATAACAATTTTTAAAAGTCATGCTTACTGTGTGTGTATGTATGTACATGTGTGCATGCCTGTGTAATTGAGTGTGTGTTGTAGAGATCAGGGGAGTCCATTCTTCCACCAGAGGGACCAAGGGATTTATCTCGGTTTGTCCAGTTTGGTGGTGAGTTCTTCACCTAGTGATGTCTCCCTAGCTTCCATTTGCAGTTTAGAAGGAAGGAAAGTTTGACACGAGCTACAGGGTGGGTGGACCTTGAAGACCTTATACTAAGTCAAGTTTACCAAACACCAGAAGACAACTATTGTGTGATTCTACTGTGTAAGGTGTAGACCACAGAGGCTGGCACTGGACCTTGACAGTAAGGGACCCAGGACAGGCAGGGTCACAGAGACAGGAAGTAGAACAGTGGTTGTGGAGGCTGGGGAGGCTGGGGGCAGGGAGCTGGTGCTGAATGGGGGGGGGCAGTGTCAGCTGAGGGAGGTGAGAGCACCCTGAAGATGGTGGCGGAGATGTGGGTGTACTCAGTGCCTCTTCCCTAGACACTTACGTCTATTTTATTACAATAGAAAGTCACTCACAGGAAAAAGCAAACAGGTTTGGTGGCTCCAGCCTATAGTTCTAGCACTTGGGGAAGGGAGACAGGAGTGTTAGAGTTCAAGGTCATCCTGAAGCACTTAGCAAGTCTGAGGCCAGCCTGGGTGATAGGCTCAAAAATGAAAAAGGAATAAAGTACTACTGCTTTTTGAATAATTAATTATATGCATGCTTTTATTTTATAACATTAGGTTTTAGAAAGCTATGAAGGTCATGTGTGTCATGAGTGTTTGTATATAGATTAATATTTTGACACAGGGTTTTCTGTGGCCCAGAGTAGCCTCATACTCCCCATGCAGCCAAGGATGATCTTGAGTTTATGACCCTCTTGTAGTCTGTCTTTTAATTACAGGGATTACAGGCATGTATTTTTTAATCCAGTTTTAGGTTTAAGGCAGTGCTGGGTTTGGGTCCAGCTCTCTGTGCATGCTAAGCAAGGACCCTGCTAACTGAGCTACACCACCAGCCCATGTACATAGATTTTATGACATAATTTGGACTACATAGAGGCCATTTACCCCCCCACACCTACTTATCTTTGGTCTCTTTAGATAATGATAGCTATTTTTAATTAGGAGAAGTGCTATTGTAGATAGATATTTAGAGACTGTACCAGGAGAATTTGGAATCCCAGAGAACTAAATGTGCACATTAGCACTACAAATAAAGGCACAAATTCATCCAGCTTGGATGATGGTCTTATCGTGCTGAAATTTCCCTTTCCTGACCCTGTTCTGCTCAGTAGCCTGTCTGGGTTCTTGATATATGGTCATGGCTCAGGGAAACCCATAACTGAGTTGGTCCAGGAAGTGGGTTGCACTCTGAGTGAATTAAAGATATATTTTCATGTGATGTGTGTTGTCAAGCTGATTTCTAGGTCACAAGTTTATTTTATTTCTAAAATTTATATTATCGTTTTGTTTGTATGGGTGTTTGCATGCTTGTATATCTGTGCACCATGTGCATGCAGTACCCCTGGAGGCCAGAAGAGGGCATTGGAGCTCGGGGATTAGGGTTTGTGAGCCCCAGTGTAGTGCTAAGGTTCAAACAACCATCCTCTCAGGAAAGTCATTTCTCCAGCCCCCACACGTTTATTTTGTAACCGTGTTTTTTAGCCTGGTCTAAATAGCAGGGGAACGTGTTGTGATTTCTGCACGAGAGGGACCCTCACCCATGGCAGGTGAGGAATGTGGGCAGGAGACAGATTTGCCATGCAGATCTTGAGTGTGGAGTTTATTGAGATAAAGGAATGGGGGAGAAGAGAGAACGGGAAGAGAGACAAAAATCTGCCTCCTCAGAGAAAATGGCAGAAAGGAAGAAAGAGGGAGTGGGAGGTCTCTTAAAAGGGACCTTTTGCACCTGTGTACAGACTAGGACCCTGGGCTGGTCAGGGTACTGCCTGGGTGCATCCTGCCAGATGTCGGGGCAGGCCAGCATAATGTCTGAATCCTCACAGTATGTATATTTATTTCCTTCTGGTTTTAGACAATAAAGGCTGTCTAGCTTGGCAGTAAGTTCAGCTTGTCACATGAAGTCCTAATTCAAGGCAGTGTCTCTTAAATCTACCGATGAGGCGCTGGACCGAGGAAACAGCTTTACGCAGCCTCGGAGACCACAGAGGCGGGCCAACCTTTAGGCCAGGCTGCTCGGTTTTGACAGATCGCCATTCCCTCCAAACCGTTATTTTTATAAAGCGCTTCTGTGTCCTGCCATCCCATCTAAATTTTCCTTTTTGTTCACAGTATGAGATGAGAACAGAAGCTCGGCGGAAAAACCTTCTCATTTTGATTTTGCATTATTTAACACAAGAAGGGTATGTTATCACAGTCGCTTATGGTGACTCCTCTCCGCTCTGACCCTTTAAAAGCAGAGAACAGACGTTAATTTTGGAACAGCTTTGTGTTTACAGAAAGATGAGCAGACAGTATAGTGACTCCATGTATAGTCTCTCCCCACCTGTTTCCTACCTTACTATTACTGTTAACAATATTACTATTATTATACTAATATTATTTGTAGTGTTGGCAGTGGATCCCAGAAAGCACTCTACAACTGAGCTCCAAGCCAGTCCTTTGTTATTAACATCTCGAGTTAATTCAGTTGGTTTGTTATAACTGGCGAGCCTGTACTAATACAATGACATTCTCCAAGTCCGTAGTTAACTTCACAGCATTTTACGACAGCAGCAGAAAAGTGCCCAAATACACATATATTTAGCAAAAAACGAGGAAGGGCAATCCAAAACAGTTTCCTAGTGGACTGGCTTATTTGACCGTCAGCACTGTTGTGAATGACAGTGTTTGGATACATTTAACATGTGGCTCAGTTACATGTCTGTAATCTCAGGGCTTCAGGGGCTGTCACAGAAGGATCATGAGTTCTAAGACAGCTTGAGCTACTTAATGAAACCTTGTCCCTAAAACAACCAACTTGAAAACAAATAACAAAACCAAACCCACCAGCAAACAAAAAGACCCCTCCTCCATACAATAGCATTAAAAAACCCGAAAACAAAATCCAACACAAACCATAAAAGCCTATGTAAGGTTCCTTCTTTAGAAAAATCTCATCCTCGCCAGCTTTTGTCTGACGTGCTGCTTACGGTCTGCTTGCTCTTAGTGTTGAATCTCTTTGGATCCGCACCCTCTGCTTGCTTTGATCCTTTACACCCAGACTTAATCTTTTCTCTTCTGTAAACTGCCAGCTATATCGACACGGCTAATGCGCTGGAGGAAGAGACTAAGCTGGGGTTACGGCGCTTTGAAGTTTGTGACAACGTTGACCTGGAAACAATTTTGATGGAATATGAGAGCTATTATTTTGTAAAGTTCCAGAAGTACCCCAAAATGGTTAAGAAGGCGCCAGAGCCAGGTACATAGCTTTGGTATATATCAGAATACACATCAGAATGGTATTTCCAGTGCCCACATCTGTAACCCCAAGATCAGGGAGGTGGGGGCCTGAAGATCAAAAGTCTGAAGACCAGCCTGGCCTATCCTTCCCCCTAACCAAAGGTGTTCCCAGGAACATGGCTATATGGTTCCTTCTGTGCCTGGAAGAGATCAGAAAGTTCTGGAACCCATCTCAAACCCAGAACTGACTGTTCAACATGATTGCCTGATTTTTTTTTTTCTGAGACAGGGTTTTTCTGTGTCCTGGAACTCACTTTGTAGACCAGGTTGGCCTCAACCTGAGATCTGCCTGCTTCTGCCTCCCAAATGCTGGGATTAAAGGCATGTGCCACCACTGCCCTGCCGACTGCCTGGATTTTGACATCCTCTAGTCTTTGTGGAGTTCGTTTGAGGACTGTGTTTTAGGGTAATGAAAGCAAAGCCCCAGTGTATTGAAGGTGCTCTTTAGAAGAAAGACCAGCATTGACTTCTGGAGTGATGGAAAGGGTTGTTGGAAGACAATAAATGACAGAAGACTTCTTGTTAGGAAGACCTATTATCTATCTTGAAAATAACATGGAAATGAGTATTGGTGAAGCTAATAGCTCATGTATAGATAATGAAATGCTTTTGAAAGCCATCAATCCAGATGGTGATCAATATAATGCAAAGACCCAGGATAGGTCAGCAGTCAAGGAGGCTCTAAAACCGAGGGCCTACGTTTGCAGTAACATTGACTTAGAAGTCTGTAAGTAGGGGAAGTAATTACAAACCAAGGGAGATCATTGTCCTGTTCACAAGGCACTTGTTAAGCCACAGACGTTAACATTTCATGTAGGGACCAGGAAACCAAGAGGAATGTCAATTAAAAGTAGCCAGGACCAAATCTAGACTTGGAGGAGGTCTGCAATTTTAATTTTCTTTTTTTTTTATTTTCTCTGAGCTCTCTTCCAGTGAAGGGTTCAGAGCTCAGCTTATTTGGCTGGTTGTTTGATCTGGGCACTGGCTCCTGCACAGAGAGGAGCCCTGTTCTCAAGGAGCTGATTTCTGGGTGGACTGTCCTCATCTAGCCTGGCACCCGTTTTCTCCTGTGATATTGAGCACAGTGGCTTAATTCGAAAGGTCAGTTGGCAGAATTTAACCCAATCAATGTTCCTCTCAGACTCATGCAGTCCTGGAGTGCTATGTGACCCAGAAAACAGTGGCAAATTCGTGAATTCTCAGTGGAGTGGCAAGCCATTGAGGCAGCCTGTTGTGGGCATTGCCCCCACATGAGCGGCCTGCGATGCTTTTCCTGAGGTCTGGGTGTCTCTCTGTGTGTCTCTGAATGCCTGAGAAGCTGTGGTCCCTTCTGTTCTCTGGGGCCTTCAGTTTTCATTAGAGCAGCTGTCTGTGGTTAGAGGCTGAAGCGCACAGTGTAAGACCGTGGAAGAACATTGTGAAAGAACAATGTACCTGAAAGTTTGTTTGCTCTCTTGTAAGACTAAATTCTCCCCCATGTTTGTTTTTCCACAGTAGAAAATAATTTACCACCAAGAAGTGGAGGGAAGAACAACAGAAGGTAAAGTGATTCATGATTCGTCATCATCAATGTAACCTTTTTTTTTTTTTTTGAGACAAAGTCTCTCTACACAGCTCTGGTTGTCCTGGAACTCCCTCTGTAGACCAGGTTGGCCTTGAACTGCCTTCTGAGTGCTAGGATTAAAGGTGTGCACTGGCATGCCAGGCCTGATCAGCTTAACGCTTAAGAGTCTGTGGGATCTCTTTTCTAAAGAGTCTCCAGTGCAGCTCCGTGACTGCCAGCAACACCAGACTGAGTCATGTGACCTTGGAGTCCCCTGTTGTCGCCACTGTCTGGACTTGAGCCAGTGTCTTCAGATTCTCCCGGGGTCACTGCACATTTCTCTCAGTGATATCCAGCCTTTCCCGGCCACGCGGCTTCGAAAGTCCAGGTCTTCAAGGCTTAAAGATTGATGCCCCGTTCCCACAACTGCTTTTTATAAAGATGGAGCAAGCTTCTGGTTTATGCCCCTGGGTTGGCTGGCTTGGGGCAGCAGAGACTGTAGGATTTTGCTGGTATAAAAAAAATCTAAAACTCAGGGGCAAATGAAAGTACAATTCTGGCAGGAACTCCACTGTATACTCAATTTATATCATGAAAAAATTATTTTCTAAATCTTAGAATGTGCCAGAAAAAGGAAACTCAGATTTAGATAAGTAATTAGGTCTTGAGAGGTGTGCGTTCTCTGTGCCCTATCAAGGGCCTCGGTTCTGTGACTTCAGTTCCCTGTATCCAGTCTGATAAGGAAGAGCCCAGAGTCCTCCACAGGGCTCTCGGCATCCTCTGTAGCAATGGCTGGTTGGAGCCCGTGCCATAACAATGGTTGTCACTGTCTTCTGCTTGAGCCACCACTGCTTTGCCCTGTGCTTTCGGGACAGTGTCACTGCCTCGATGGAGCACTGCTGCCCTATTCATAGTTCCCAGGAAGCTAGTCGGTCTCTGCTGATGCTAAAATGGCTTGTGCATAGCAACAGCGAGGGCATTTAACAAGCCAGCCTTGGCATGCACTTGGGCTCCGCTTGTCCTTCAGTACATTCATGCCTGCTGTGTGCTCAGGGCACAACACTTGGTACATGCATGTTGGCCAGCAACATGTAAAAGGAAAAGGAGGAGCCAGTGGTATGCAAAGCCACTTGGGGTTTCCTCAGTTTTTCTGGGTTGATGTCTGTGTGTGGCAAGCACCAGGGATAAACCCCAAATGCTTAGTCAGGGAGGAGAATCAGGAAATCAGTGGGCAGTGTTTCTGGCCACTGTGGGCTTTTAAAATTTTTTAAAGAATTTTATTTTTGTTTATGTGTGTGAGTGTTTTAGCTGCCTGTAAGGATGTGCACCACACCTGTGCAGTACCCACAGAGTCCAGAAGAGGGCATTAGATCCCCTGAAACTAGAGTTACAGGCAGTAGTGATCTTAGTCACTGAACCATCTCTCCAGCTGCTCTGGGTGCTGTTTTATGCTGAGATGCTCACTCTGTAACAGGGTGTGTCATCTGGTTGACTACCAGTCTTCCAAGTGTTCTTTCCTAATTTTGTGCCTAGCACCAGAGATTTCTCCCAGTTATGGATCTGCTGATGATCCAAGGGCGGGAAGTTAACTAATGAGACAGGTGACAAAATTGGGGTCCCAAAAGGCTTGAGAATTTGGGGGAATGTTATTTGAAGGTGTGATGTTTTTGTTTATGCTGCGTTTCTCTAACTCTGTGAAGCTGTGATTCTTCGCCTGTCTAAAACACCTGGTGGTCTAATACAGCACTGAACAGCCAATAGCGAGGTGGGAGCAAGGATAGGTGGGGCCGGCAGGTAGAGAGGATAAATAGGAGAAACAAGGAAGAGGGGAGCAAGAGAACAAAGAGAAGAGGACATCAAGGGCAGCCACCAAGCTGCACAACGAACTATGGAGAAAGAAATAAAGGTATACAGGAATAGAGAAAGATAAAAGTCCAGAGGCAAAAGGATAATTTAAGAAAAGCTGGCAAGAAACAAGTCAAACTGAGGTCAGATATTCATAACTAAGAATAAACCTCCATGTGTGATTTATTTAGGAACTGGGTGGTGGGCCCCCACAAAAGCCAGAAGAGTAAAACATCACACAACAGAGAATTTGTGGGATGGGCCTATGACAGTGGAATTTGATGGAATAAAGTTCAGGATCTAACAAGTCCCTTCCCCACTGCAAGATCAGAGACCTAGAAACCAAGTTAACAGTAGGGCAGCATGCTCAAGTGAAGTGTGATTTCCGATGTGGTCTCAGGCCTCATCAATGGATAAACACTGTCCCAAAACTAGGAGGTTAGTTTATTCTGGTCTAATGACAGTGGACAGAGAGGAGCTAACCAAGACAAGAAGGCATCTGGGAGCTAGGTGACTTTAGCAGTGATAGGAGCAGCCAGGGGTATGGCTGGAATGCAGCACAGCACAGCACAGCGCAGCACAGCACAGCACAGCTCAGCACAGCACAGCACAGCACAGCACAGCACAGCACAGCACAGCACAGCCCAGCCCAGCACAGCACAGCACAGCACAGCACAGCACAGCTCAGCACAGCACACACAGCACAGCATCTCCTTTGCTCTCCTAAGGGCTATGTTAGCTGCTCTCTCACCACTGCAACCAAATACCCAGCAAAAAGCAGCTTAGGGGAGGAGGGCCTTATTTTTGGCCCAGAATAATGTGGTTTGTCATGGTGGAGAAAGCATGGTGGCAGGAGTGGCTTGGTCTCTGGAACTGGCCAGTAAGCAGAAAAAGGACAGTTGGCTTTCTCCTTTTTGTCTTTTTGTTTGTTCTAGAACCCCGACCCATGGGATGCTACTTAATGAGTCTTTCTTTGTTCCGCCAGTCAGCTCCCAAATAATGACATGGAGACTTATTATTAATTATGAAAGCTTGGCCTATAGCTTAGGCTTGTTCCTAACTAGCTCTTTCAACTTTAACCCACTTATATTAATCTACCTTCTATCATGTGGCTGCCACTCCTGTTGTCTCCTGGTATCTCTGCTGGTCTAGATTCCTCTCTTTCTTCCTGGAAGTCCTGCCTATACCTCCTGCCCTGCTATTGGCCATTCAGCTCTTATTAAACCAAATCACAGCAATGTATGTTCACATAGTGTACAAATATTTCACAACAATGCCAGTGCTTACATTTATGGTAGGTCTTCCCTTCTCTATTGAACTCTGAAAACAGCCTCACACACATGCCCCAAGGTGTACATGCCCCTTCGGCATTTTTTTAATTTATTTTATGTTTATGAGTATTTTGCCTGCACTTGTGCAGTGCTTGCAGAAGTCAGAAGAAGGCATTGAATCCTCTGGAACTGGAATGACAGACAGTTACGAAGTGCCACATGTGTGCTGGGGAAGGCCATTAGCATCGGTCCAGCCCCTCACCAGGTGTTTCTTATAGTCCAATCAAGCTGACAGTCGTAGCAAGAGGTTAGACTTTCTCAGTAGAATTCTCTTGAGCACAGGACTGATGGATAAAGTTAAGGCCAAAGTAGTTTGATTCTACATTCAGAAGAATTTTATAATTATTGGTGTTTTTGTCTTGAGTCATATCAAAGCAAACTTGATGGTTCATTTTGCTGTTGGCAGGAAATCAAAATGGGAGGACCAGAGTTCTGGACCACTGAGAGACCCAAATGGATGTTGAGACTTGCATCTGTGTTATGTGTTATATTTTATATATTATATATATTATATTTATATTATATTATATAATATGTTATATTATATATAATATTATGTAATATATTATAGTTATATTTAAACCAACCCTATTAGTAAAATTTGCATGTATGAAATGCTTGATACTCATTTTATGATTATTCCTTTTTTGTCCCCGCAAAAAGCCTGAAGGACAGATTTTTTTAATGTCTAGGTTAGAGATGAAAAAAGATGCCCTAGGAATGGCCCATGTCCACCTCTCATGAGTTGAACATTAGGGTGTGGACACCAGTAGTACTATTGACCTAGTATTTATATTAGAGATGATCAACTTTTTTTTTCATAATGAATTGAACTGAGGCAGAAGCTGTCTGAGATCATTTAGAATATGAGAGTCGTTCCTCTAGTGACTCTCCTACAGATATCTTGCAAAGAACTGAGAGAAGAAAGCAGCCTAAGGCATCAGAGCTCATGATGGCCTCTAAGAAGGTCCTGCGTGCTTTGACCTTGTTTTCCATTGCAAGATGCAAACATCCCAATACCATTTTTTGCCTACTAATGAGGATGTACTGAACAGACTAGTTCTCCCCCTTGTAGTGATATGTGATGCACACTCAAACGTGTGTGCTCTGACTATTGTGACAATAGCAGACTCCCATTGTCCCCTCCATTTCTATAAACCCCATCTTTACCAGCCACTCTTCTGACTTCCAGCCCCGTCACTGTGTTTTTCCAGACATGAACATACTGATGAGAAATCATTTTGCAAAGATGAGTGATTTGTGACAGCAGACACAGACTAAGTTTGCTCTCTTTCCACAGTGTTTTATTATCTATGTGTATTTGTGTGTATCTGTGTGCAGTTACCTGCAAAGGTCAGAAGACGGTGTCGGATCCCCTGGAGATGGAGTTACAGGCAGTTGTGAACTGCCAGATATGAGTGCTGAGAGCCAAACTCAGGACCTCTGGAAGAGCAGCCCATGCTGTTAACAACTGAGCCTATAGGAAGGATATTCAGTGTACAGGGTTACAACTCAGACAGAGCCCTAGATCTTCAGGTGTTTCATAACGTGAGAGGACGGACTGTCTCCTCCCCCACCCCAAGGTCTCCCTGGTCTGATGCTTGGAGGAGAGTGGGAGACGTTAGCAGTGGGAATATTCTTCCTTAGCAGTAGTCCTCAGCCTTCCCATGCTGCGACCCTCTAGTGCAGCTCCTCATGTTGATGACCCCAATCGTAAAATTATTTCATTGCTACTTCATAACTGTAATTTTGCTACTGTTATGAATTGTGATATAAATATCATCTGGTATGTGAAATATTTGAGATTTGACCTCTGTGAAAGGGTCGTTTGAGTCTCAAAAGGGTTGGGGCCCACAGGTTGAGAACTGCTGTTCTAAAGTCTTGTTTGTTTTTAAAGATTTTTTTTTAAAAAAAATTCATTCGTATGTGTGGGTTTTTAAAAACTAAAGCAACATGCCAAGCATGGAACCTCTATGGTGTGACGGAGAATGGAAGAGGGTGGATTGGGGGTCCCTGGGAAGGGTGGGCACCCTAGCTTGGTTGAGAGGAGCCCAGTGAGTAGCCAGAAGGAAGCTGGAACCAGGTCAGCTAGGAGCAAGTACATGGTGCAGCTGCAAGAGCCTCATTGTGCTGTGTGCATGTGTCTTTCGAGAACTCCTTTTAAATGTGTTACACTAGTTATTTACTTACCTTGAATCAAATGGTTAGAATGCGTTCATGAAAGTTTTTATTTCCTTCTTTAGGGTGACAAATGACAATTGTCAAAATCTCCCCAAGATCTGTCAGCAGAGGCTACGACCCAAAACCTCAATAGTGAAGACAGGGGACACCAAATCTGTCAAGGACCATTCTAAACAGGTCACGATGGCTGCTTGATGTCGTAATACCACACTTGGCTGATAAATGGCCTCAACAAAATTAGCTTATTTCTTTGTTGCTTTTGAAGTTCTCTTTTTAAAATTGCTGTAGTTTAATTCAACTGTAGAGTTTCCTGAATACTGTAGATGTTTTAGTATGTTGGGAAAAAAAATGGAAGAAAATGGACAAATTCCTAGATTTGCCAGCTCCTTCTCTAGTTTCAGCTCAGGGTGAGGGTATTGGACAGTTTGGGGCTGGCTGATAAGATATTCATAGCTGAAATAAGTGCAGAAAGGTCTTCCCATCCCAAATGTGTCCTCTGGCTCCCCAGTGTGGTCCAGGAGCAGTCTAAGATACAGCTGGGCCTTGGCACCTCCTGCTGGGCTTCTGCATGTAGGGTTACTCCTCACCCCTACCACAACACTAGACTTTCTAGAAGGGAGGGCAGCAGGAGAAATGGGCCCAGTAGATGGGTGAAGTCAGTGGCTCCTGCCTCAGGAGATCTACGTCCAGAACCTTCTTATCTAGGGCAAAACATTCCAGGTTTTAAAGAGCAAGGGACAGTGGAAATCAGGAGAAGGAACAGCAAAGGTTACTGCTGAGGACTAGTGGGGTGGGAAGAAATGATTGTGGGATTCAGTTGGCTCGAAGAGGGTTATAGCTGTGCCTAAGGTAGAAGGAGATGACGTGGGACAGGTGAGTTCCACAGGGGGCTGGGCAACTCTGCCGAATCCCCAGACTTGGTCAGTCTTGGCCAGAGGAGAAAAGACAAGCTAGAAAAGACTTGTGGGAGTGGGCTGAGTGCAGGTGTTTGTGCACAGGCAGGGCTGCTTAGAACTCATGGTCTGGAGTCTCTACCTCAGGGAACAGCTCCTTCCTCGTGACACAGGAACACGGTTAGTTGGTTCTGCATAGGGGATGGGCAGTCAGAACCTGGGTATCTGCTGCTTCCACATCTGACTTCTCATGGCCTTCCTTTTCCTCCAGGAGAATGTCAATAATGCTCAAGTAGAGAATGCTGACTTTGGCCTAAACATATCAAAAATCCAGAAGAACGGCACAGAGGAAAAGGCCCACCCACGAAGAGTAAGTGGGACTCAGGACCCTAGGGTGGAACAGGGAGTTTGTTTCTCTCTAGAAAAAGGAAATCACGTGATTTTTGCCAAACATGACCACAGCAACAAAAGCATGAAAGGTTGACTGTGGGGTAAGGGAGAATCAGAAACCCGGCATGCAATTCTGATCTGCCCGCTCCTTTCTGGAAGGACCTTCTAGAATGATCCTTCTCTAGGGACCACAGGCTCCTCGTTTGCAAATGGACATTCAGAAGAGAGAGGGTTCCTTTCAGCTTAAAAATTCAGTGATCAGCAGGGTGTAATCAGGTGGTAGAGTGTTTGCCTGCTGGTCACAAAACTCTATGTTTGCTCCCTGCTATCAGAAATGGTTAGGAGAGCACAAAGAGCCCTGGGATGACAGCAACAGACATTAGTGTGCTGCATTTGAGTGAAGGACAGCCCCGGAGGGTCCCGTGCTTGTTTGTTTATGATCCTGCCAAGGGTAGTTGCTTAATGCCCTCCTGCTTAGAGGCACGCTCCAGACTTGAGTACAATTTATTTGTGATCCATGAAGATTAGTTGGTTTAGAGCTGATCCTGTGTTTAATAAATATTTCTGCTCCCCTCCCCCTTTCCTTCTTCCTCCTTCTTGTTTTTTATTTTGCTTTTTGAGATAAGGTCTTACTAGCTGGCATAGAACTTACTTTATAGACTAGGCTGGCCTCGAACTCACAGAAATCTGCCTGCCTCTGCCTCCCGAGTGCTGGGATTAAAGGTGGACAGCACCAGCTATTTCTGCCTTTTTTTTTTGTTTTTTTTTTTCTGATGAAACTCAGGTCTGACTTTGTAAAAAAGTAGTTTCTCTAAGAGAAAAGTCCCGGATGGGGTGGATGTAGCAAAGGTAGGGGTAGTAGACCCTTTGGCAAGAAGAGTACATGTTTCTCCCGAGAGACCCTCCAGGGTGTCCTTCATTAACTCTTCTCCTTCAGCCAAGTTGTTGAACCATGGGTTGCTGCCCTGCACACAAACTGGTCATTGTGGTGTGTGCTGGAAGGGCTACCAGGCACACAAAGCCTGGGGGTTGCCTTCCGTGGCCTGTATGGCTCCCTGGAGGCCTCAGAGAACTGATAAGGAGGGAGAGGATGCATTTGCCTTCCCCCAGAAAAATGCTTCCTTGTTAGTCCTCAGTGCCTTCCTTAAATTCCAAGTCCCCTGTGGTGTACCTAGCAGTGTTGTGGCTTTAGTCTCTTGTGAATGTCTCACACTGATATAAGCGGTGTCTCTGAGTGAGTCCCAAGGAAGGGACTATTTAACCCAGCACTTAACCTTTGAAATAGTCTGGCTGTAAATTCTGTTTGTAGTAGAAATGGCTTTGTGTAAAAGGTAGATAGATTTTTTTTCCCTCCCAGATTTTCAAATGTTCATGGGTTGGGTGACAGTGCCTAGGAGTTTTCCCCCTAAGAGGGTTTCTCATCATTGTCTTAGGGACTCTAGCATTGGATTCTGACGCCTTGCTGAAGATGTCAAAAGTATGTTGTTCTTTGGAGTACAGGCTGGGGAGTCAGTGCCCAAGCCCACAGTGCTGCAGTGGTTAGGTTGTGGTCAAGCCTTATGTTTTTTTTTTTTATTTGTTTGTTTTTGAAATCTGTAAAATGGAAACCATAGCACTGCCTGCTTTAACTGTGAGGTTGAAAGGAGAGCCCATGTCCTCGCTGCCGCACAACAGACAGTCGGTAAACTCTACTGGTTGGAAGTGTGTCCTACCTGCGCTCCAGGAGCTTGGAAGATTATGTTAGTTACACCTTCTGTTGTGACCAAATGACTGACAGGGGCAGCTAAAAAAAAGGGAGGACATGGCTCCCTGCTTTAGGGGATGTCCATCATGGCCGGCAAGGCATGGCGGGGTTTCTGTCTGTGGTAGTGAGAGTCTGGGATTGAACTCCTTTCCTGGGGTCCAGCCAGGATGCAGAAGCTAGACTAGAGTTAGAGGTAAGTGTAACAACCATCAAAGGACCGCTGGCAGTAGCAAGGTCTGCCAGGCAGGCGTCAGAGCCGCCAGTGCCAGTAGGACCAGATACTCAAACTCATGACACGATGGAAGACATTTCAGAATCAAACATAATAGCAAACATCTGGGTTCGAGTCCTGGCCTCAGCCTACTGTTAGTCTTGTGGCCCTCGGCAAATTGTTTAACTTCCCCGGCTTCACAGGTTAAAATGTCACTCACCACTTGCAGGGGTGGCCTGAGAACCTTGCCTACCTGTCCTGTCCCAGGCCGTGCAGTCAGCACACGGGCCTATCTTTACCTGCGTCCCAGTGGGTTCTTCTTGCATATGTAACGTTTTCAAGGGATGTGGTCAGACAGGGCAAGTAGCCACATAAGGAAGCAGATGTTGAGTGTCAGAGATGCAAAACGTCCATGAATTTTACTCATCTAACTCCATTCTGAAGAATTATTTAGTTTTGTTTTTTTACACAGTCCCGGCTTTTGCACATCATCTTATTCAGCAGTAGCTCAGCTTTCCCTTGAGATGAAATCTGCCTGCCCTACAAGGGTATAGATACCCAGCTCTAAGGCTACCCTGCTCTTGTGTGTTTATGGCTTAAATAACCATTGCTCCCTTTTAGGGCCAAATCATTGACTTCCGGGGGCTGCTCACAGATGCTATCAAAGGAGCCACCAATGAACTCGCCTTGAACACTTTCGAATGTAACCCAGACCCTTCGGTAAGTGACCAAACTGCCCAAATCTCGTGGAACTTCTAGGAGTATCACCCCGAGTCCAGGGAACTGTGAGATTTGGTCAAAGGTCATTGCAACCAGTCACCGTTAGTTTCTCCAAGATCCCACTTTCCTTCCCACATCGCGGAGCAGTTTTGTAAGGCCAGCCTTTCTGCTCCTCTCCCCAGGAGCGGCTGCTGAAACCTCTGAGTGCATTTATTGGCATGAACAGTGAGATGCGAGAACTGGCAGCCGTGGTGAGCCGGGTAAGATCTGCTGTTCAATTCACAAATTTATGGAGGCAGACCAGGGCTCCTGGAGCATTGTGGGCTGCTTCTTTTATTAATAACAATAAATATGATCATTTATTTATAAAGTGCCCCCACTTGCAGAGGCACTCATATAGTTTAGAGGCACAATAATGCATGATAAATAAATTATAGAATCATAAAATTACAATAGAAAAAGCCCACCATCCTACTATAGGGGCCAAGAAAACAGACAGCAAAAAAGATGCAGAAAGGGACGGACAGGTGAAAGGCTTTCTGGCGGGCCCCAGAGCCGGAGAAAGAGGGTTCTAAGAAAAGCACGGAGCACACGTGTGTTCTGTTTAAAGAGCCCCAGTCTGAAAATGCGGGGTCTGGGAGTGTGATGACCTCACACTTGGAAATTTCCTTGAACATAGCCAGATTAGTAAGAAAGATTTTTTATTACTAGGCTAAGGATACTTCAAACTTGCGCCGTGGAACCTAAAGGAGTGAAAATGAATGGCCAGTGATGCAACCCCGAAACCCTTTGACCTGAGCTTGATTTCTGGAGCCTTCTCTTTCTAGCTAGATGGTTTTAAGCAAACTTCTTAAGCTGAGAATAGATTATTGATTACAGATGACTTTTCTAATTTCCACTGATCTCAGTTTAATTGAAGAGGGAAACTGAGGTAGGGTCAAAAAGATTCTTTAAAAAAAAATCCTCCAAAAAGCGTACAGTTGCTGAGCTGCGAGGGCATCTGCTTCAGTGGACGGATGTCCACTGCGCTACCAGAGGCTCTGAGGGCCTGCAGACAGAGGCGGGTGACTCAGGCCCAGGCTTACCTCAAGAGACTCTGGTTGCATCTGAGTGCATCTGGGGAGCAGTAGGAAAGGGATGGAGAAGAGGGAGCTGGAAGGCACTTGGAGCAAAGCTGGGGAGGAGAAAGGGGCAGGATTCTAGAGGAAGGGTCCCTGAGCAGTATCCAGGATGGAGAACTGGATAGAGAGATGAAAACCCTGGACTAGCATCCCTCTCGGGGCACAGGTCATCCTGTGTGCTGAAAGGCAGTTTCAGTGAGGCGGATGTGGTAACGTGATAGAGAAGAGAGACAGCTATGAGGTTTCCACCAGTGAAGCAGGGTAAAGAGCAAGCCTGCCGGGATACACGAGGAAGCAGAGGCTGATGCTCCTCATACCCCCAAATATGAAGTCTCCTTCCTGTCTCCACAGAAGGGTAGCATGACTGAAGTTCAAAGTAGAGAACAGAAGTGACCTGACGCGATCCCACACTCCCGAGGAAGGGGACACAGCTCCTTCTTGTATGTTTCCAGTGATGGGAAGATCATTTCCTCATGAGGCAATGACAAACGACTTTGGATGTGTACAAGGAAGAACTTTGGGTTGGGAAATTAAACATCACCTTGTTAAACTCAGCGTCTCCCCTAGACTATGGAGGGAAATGCACTTATCTACAGATTGTTCAAATACCAAAGTAGATGGAGCCTCATTGTGTGCCAAGATTTCCTAAGAAAGGCCTTAATAAGAGATGTGTGCTCTCCCCAAGTTTTGGAATCCTGAGTTGGGTGTGATATAATCTCTGTCATCTCGCACTCAGAGGATGAAGCAGGAAAACCCAGCCACACAGTGTGTTCCAGGCCAGCATACAGAGTGAGACCCTCTCTCAAAACATAAAATTTGAAAGACTGGGTCTTTTATTCACTACCCTGTCCAACAATGGACAATATACATCACGTATGACCCAATCATTTCCAATAAATACTGTGGTGGTGTTTTGTGTTTTACCAAATAAAGCTTGCCTGAAGATCAGAGTGTGGAACTGGCCACTAGTTACCATAGAGGGCAGGTAGTGGTGGCTCACATCTTTAATCCCAGCACTCTGGAGACAGAGGCAGATGGATCTTTCTGAGTTCAAGGCCACCCTGGGCTACACAAGATTGATCTAGTCTAAAAGAGAAAACAAGCCTGGCGGTGGTGGCTCACATCTGTAATCCCAGGATTTGGGAGTCATAGGCGTTTCATCCCAGCACTAAGAAGGTGGAGACAGGAAGGGGTATGGCTGGGCAGAGAGAGGAATATACGACAGGAGGAGACAGGAGCCCAGGGCATTCAGTTTGCGGATTCATAGAGACAGGACCGCCCTTTGGGTCTGGGGTAGGAGTAAGAACTAGTGTCTGGCCGCTCTGCTTTTCTGGTCTTTCAGCTTTCACCCCCTAATATCTGACTCCGAGTTTGTTTTGTTTTGTTTTTATTTCTTTTGAGACAGGATTTCTATGTAGCTTTAGAGCCTCTCCTGGAGCTTGCTCTGTAGACCAGGCTGGCCTCGTCTGCCTGTCAAGTGCTGGGATTAAAGGTGTGCACCACCACTACCTGGCTGGATTCTGAGTTTTTATTGATAAGACCAATTAGAATCCAAGCTACAGCCAGGCGGTGGTGGTGCACTCGGGAGGCAGAGGCAGGCAGATCTCAGTGAGTTTGAGGTCAGCCTGGTCTACAAAGTGAATTCTAAGTCAGTCAGAGATGTTACTCAGAGAAACCCTGTCTCAAAAAGAAGAAGAAGAAGAAGAAGAAGAAGAAGAAGAGGAGGAGGAGGAGGAGGAGGAGGAGGAGGAGGAGGAGGAGGAGGAGGAGGAGGGAGAGGAAAAAAAGGAAAAAAGAATTCAAGCTACAAAATACCAAAATACTTCTCAGTAAAGTGGAACTCCTGGTGGGGAACCCTGGGGGGAGGGAAGTAGCCGTAGGACCATAACATTTTTTGCCATTTTAAAAACATACTTTTATATTTTTGAAACATGTGCACATAGCACATATTAACACACACACACACACAGAGACACACACACACACAAAACAAGTAGATAAACAGTTTCCAGGCTTGTTCTTTACTCAGAATGACATAGGAAAGGACCTTAAGAAAAAGTAATACGCCAGACGTTGTTTGCCTGAAATAGCTCCGACGGAGAAGGGCCCAGAGCGATTGTTCAGAGGCATCTTGTGAAATTGAAATTGGAAAACTGTAAATTAGTAATCAGTAAAAGCGACTTAATTGATTGCCCTGGGGTGGTCGCTACAGGGCTCTCCCGTAAGAGGGGAACTGCGCACGCACTTGGTTGTTGGCCTCCTCGAACGCTGCAGAAGCAATCGCTCCAGCTGGAAGCAGGGAATGCTCACTAGGGAAAAGGGAAATTGGTTTCAAGGGAGCATAGGAGAAGTCTCTGTTTGCAACAAATTAAGAAAGTGTTTGCCAGATCAAATAGCTAGACAGATGCCCAGCTATGGTAAGGATATGCTTTCCACTAAAAATTAGGGTAATTTGAAGGCATTTCTTGACTGTGGTCATAAAGTAGCACAGGTTGCTATTGGCTGATAGCAGGTATAGCTCACTCTTATACCTACCCCCCCCCAAAAAAAAAGTACCATATTTTACTATCAATATTTTATTCAGGGAAAATCATTGACTACTTTCCCATCTCTTTGGTAAAGTAACCCCAACTTATCATGTATGCATAGGTCTACATTATAATACTCAGGAAGCATATTTTTTTATCATCAGCACATTATATCCTATTAAGTCTGGTGTTCTGTGCTGCCATGTTTGTTCCAGAAGTGGAAGAAAACATCAGTTTTAACAAAATAATCAAATGCATATTGCAGGACATTTATCTCCATAACCCCAACATAAAGTGGAACGACATTATTGGACTGGACGCGGCCAAGCAGTTAGTCAAAGAAGCCGTTGTGTACCCAATAAGGGTAAGTATGGGAAGTCATGTTTCTGATTGCTATCAACTAGACAAGCTATGTCAAGAAGAGACGGTGTGGTGACTTTTCTGTCTGTAAAATAGCCTTTTGACTCGGCCACTCTTGGTCAGGGCTAGAGCATCACACCCGTCTGTGCTATACCAGTTTAAGTCCTGTTCCTGTTGCAGCTCTTGCAGAGGGGAGGGTCCCAGCACCCACATCAAGTGGCTTGCAGCTGCCACTATAGCTTCCCATGAGTTATAACACTATAACTCTAGTTCCAGGGCACTGCCTTCTTCTGGTCCTCAGGCACTTGTATGTTACTTGTGCATACTACCACAAAATAAAAATAAATCTTTCTAAAAAGTCACATTCTATATTGGTTCAAAGTGTCTGCTCAGTGGTAACTGAAGACGTAAGACAATGTGGAACACAGCTTTTCAGATGCTAAACACTGACCACTGGCTTGCTCCCTAAGAGTGTGCTCCCTGTCGTACACATACCTCTCAGGAGAGGCCTCTCATTTTGTCTCTATGGATCTGACTCAGACCAGCCCACAGGGGCTTTGCCTCGGCTAGACAGACAGTCCCTTCCAGGGCCATGACCAGCAGCACCAGCATGCTGTTCTCATCACCTGCCTTTGACTGTTTTCTACACACCTCACGAAACAGACTGACAGAAGAAACAGCACACTTCCAGAGGGGAGAGGAGGTGGTCAGAGTATTGCAGAGTGCTTGCTATCTGACAGGCCACCCTGCCACTCGGGGCCTTAAAACAACAATCTTTGGAACAGAAATTTGCTTGTCATTCTGTGGGTGAGCAGTTTAAGCTGAACCCAGCCAAGCTACCTCATCTGTTTCCACATAGTATCATTTGCCTGGCGCTCCCACACATCAGCCAGAGTGACTGGGGGACCTGGGGGAACAGTTGGAGTAATGGGCAGCCAGGTCTTTTCATATGGCCAAATCCTGCAACAAGCAAGTTCAGCCTTGTTCACAGGGTTCTTAGAGAGAGGGAAGAAAGATCATGTCCTAACGTGCGAGCTTTTTCATGGCCCCCCTTCCATTTGTTCATCTTACATTTTCAAGCCACTTTTTATATTTTCTAGCATCCCACTGGGCAAGGTCAGAGGGCCAAGAACCAGTACAGGTGGTGGAGAACTCTACTTTCTTCTGTGGGAGGCCACTATACAGAATTTGTATAATTTGTGGACTATAATTTCCTAAGGGCAAGATTACACATTCATTAAAATAACAACAGCAACTGTGTATTACTACCTCTGACTCCATGAAGTTCTTGATTTTGCCATACTTTCATTCTAAGGAAACAAAAAACATTAAATTCAGATTATCTCCCCCCCCCATCCTGCTCAGATGGAAGTAAGAAATATATTTATTCAGAGCTAAGAGTGAAACCATAGCACAAAACTTTTGAGAAGAATAGAGCATTTTATCGGCACCCTGGATATGCTATTTTTCATTATTCTGGGGAACAAACCCACAGCGTTTAACGTGGTCGACAGAGAATCTACCAGGGTTACATCCCCTCCCCCGTTTCTGGATGTGCTATTTCCATGGCATTATAACCTCCACAGGCGATGGGAGTGTGTTTGCCATCAGTACCAGTGGGACTCTAAGAACATGAAGTCATTTCCCCTGTCTTCCACCAGTCCTGTCCAGTTCCTAGAAGGTTTGAACTTGAGCTAATGGAAGAAACCCAACTGAAACCTGTTAGCATCCTCTGAGCCTCAGTATCCTCAGCCTCTGCCACAGGCTTCACCATGGAGCTTCCCACGGGTACACACCTTTGTGGGCTGGTTCTAGGACTCATCTTGGGTCTGTGTCTTCTTTATGATTTTAAAAAGGAGCTGAAGGCTCCACATGGAGAACATAGAGGGAAGGAAATTATATACATAGAAATAACTGTTGTCACTGGGCGGTGGTGGCGCACACCTTTAATCCCAGGCAGAGGCAGGCAGATCTCTGTGAGTTCAAGGTCAGCCTGGTCTACTGAGTGAATTTCAGGACAGCCAGGGCTACACAGAGAAACCCTGTCTTGAGAGAGAGAGAGGGAGAGAGAAGAAATAACTATTGCCACAGAGAAGAAAATAGCTGCATATCCCTTTCTTTTCTTTATGTATGTATGTACATATTTATTTATTTATTGCTTTTAAGAAGCCACAAAAATTAATTCAGACATTTACCCAGTGTGAAAATGCCCCGAGACAAACAAGATCCACACAGAGGAGCGGACCTTTAAAAAGTGGGGCTAAGCCTTAGAGGGGCTGTTTTGCAGGACCTCCTGCCCTGCCTGCAGGATGTGCAGGCTGATGTACTCATGTTCACCTTGTTCTTTGTTCTCCAAGTACCCACAGCTGTTTACAGGCATCCTCTCCCCTTGGAAAGGTCTGCTGCTTTACGGCCCTCCAGGTAAGCGCATCTTTCTGTTCTGCCTGTCAGCTGGGGCGAAGGATGTCTGTGGGAGCCTGGCTGCTGCCGTCAGTGAGGCAAGGAGCAGAAGCACCTGCTCATGGTCATCCTCCTGTGTCCCTAGGTACAGGAAAGACGCTGCTGGCCAAAGCGGTGGCCACCGAGTGCAAAACGACTTTCTTTAACATTTCTGCCTCCACCATTGTCAGCAAGTGGAGAGGAGATTCAGAAAAACTTGTCCGGGTAGGAATTCTTAAGATGTTTAAAAATCAGTTTTCTTGAATATCAAAGTACAAAATTATGCTAGAGCGTGTTGGTTTTAAGGTGGTATATATGTTAGCCTCTACTTGGATTGTGACTCTTCAAAGCCCAGGAAGTGGATTGACTGTCACATGTGGGTATTAATCATATTGCCATCAGCAAAACATGGATTCCCTTCTTCTGGAATTTTACCAACAGCTATTTTTTGATTTACACAATTTAGGATTAAAAAGCGAGAATAAAAGTCTCTAAAGTGGCCTACTGTTTTCTTCACTCAAGAACCATTCATTATTAAGCATGTACAGTTTATCCAGTTAACATTTAGTGTGAGGCCACTGCCGTGTGCCAGACCCTACACTATGCACTCTGTGGAGGAATTGAAAGACATAAACCTTAATTATTCTTTCAGATGTTCTGAGCATCTTTTCTTCCTCTGCTCATTGCCTGCACAGTGTATTCTCTGTGGATGTTTCCATCTTTACCATATCTTGTTCCCGGCCCATGGCATCTCTTACACTCTAACATTTTGCTGTATCTTCCTGTCACCCTAAGAGAACAGCTACTGTGATGTACACCTTGCCATAAAGGGGGAGCCTTGCCAGGAATCCTGTTAGATTGTTGCCTCCTGTAGAAGGACTGATAAGTAATCAATACTAAGTGAATGTAAAATTTACTTTCTGAAAAGAAATCACACTAAAATATTACTCTGGAATTATGGTCCCTCATAAAGCTAATTTCCAAATGATCGTAGACTGCTTAGAAGACATAATGGGATATTTTAGGAGGGTTGGTTAAAATTAAGACCATACCTATTATTTATTACTTTGACTATTCATTCATTCATTCTTTCATTCATTTCTAAGGATTAAATGTAGGCATTTGCATGTCAGGCAATTACTATAACACCAAATTAGCCCTTAGCTCCTTGTTATTGTTTTCAAGTTGTTTCAAATGTTTAAGTTTTTATGGATTTTTATCACTCCCTCAACATTGTATTTCTTTTCTGTTGCTCTGTTTATTTTAGTGGTACTGTTTTGAGACAAGGCTTTTTTGTAGATGTAGCTCAGACTGGCCTTGAACTCATGTCTTTTGGGATCACCTCATTGTCCTAGGTGCTGGAATTATAGGTTGTGTACCACAGCGCCTGGATCAAGATGAAATCTATGAAAATATTTATCTACATTTTCTCCTTTGATCTTTATCTTGAGGCTGTCTCAGACCAGATCCCCAGGTACTCCTGTTTATCTGCTGTGTGTGGATCCCTAGGGTTCTGGTCAGTTCTGTTTCAAAGGGCTGAGGTTCTATTAACTACAATCATTATCAGCCTAAAGCTCTTTGGGATGTGTGTGTGTTTAATTTCTGTGTGTTGGGTAACAGTAAAACAACTCACAAAAGACGCCCTCCCCTGAAGGGTAGAGATTTATGTCCTGTCACAAAAAGTGTTTGGAACCATGAGCACAAGATACTGCAAAGGGTTTAAAGAAAGTTCCCAGACTCCCCGGACAAGCCCCAGGTGGACAAACATGTACATTTAGATATTTCATGATGATCCTCAACATAGATGGAGAGAAAATGGTTTCTTATTTAGTGTTGAATGTCTAGAAATGCCAATCACAGGAATGTTCCTTCTTTGTATTTTTTTTTTAGCTCAGGTTTTTTTTTTATTTTCTGCTTTAGTATCATTCCAGGAGTGAGCAATCCTTCCTGTCCCAGGTCTCCATCTCCTTCACCACATGTTTAAAAGAACCTGGCTTTCTGGAAAATGCATGAAAGCGTACATTTCCTTGATTTGGAATCTATGAACTCATATTCTCAAGGTCACATGGCAGGCCCCTTACTGAATGAGCCACCCCCCAGGCCCCTAATATGAGCATTTTACAAGTTACTTTAGAAGATACTTATATTCTTTTTTCTTATGAAAAATACATTTTCATTTAAATATTTGAAAAACATTCAAGAAGAAACTGGAAACCTCTGCCAACCTTGAAGGGTCTTATTTCCTTGTAGAAGTTATTTTTTCCTGTTCTGTGAGATTTTGGGAAGTTCCTCACCTGGGGAGGTTTAAGCATTCTGTCCACCCCTTCCTGTAAAGGTTTTTAGGGAAAGCAAACCCTTTAGGACCTTCCCCTCAATCAGAAAAACGTTTTCTCCCATTTGTTTCTCTTTCTATTCCAATTAAGGAGTTATTTATAGGGAACCTTTGGGCTGTGAACCCCCCTCCTCTCCTAATGCTCCTGCCTCTTAGGAGTTGAGCACTATTGAATAGCTGAGTGATCTCTTTAGCAAATGCGTACACCTGTTGATGCTTATATCTCCCTCCCCCTCATATGATTTAACTTCCTCCAAGCACCTCTGGATATTTTAGACTAAAGCTTCTAGAAGCACTTACCAGGATTCTATTTATTCTCTGGGAATGGAAACTCAGTAATTTGAGCAATATGGAGACCTAAGCCCTAAATGCAGTTAGTTCTTCTAACTTTATGTTGAAGAGGCCCTTGGTCTTCTACACCTGAGTAAGCGCTTTAAAACTGTGTGTAGGTCTGATATAGGGTTCTAATATCCTCTTTTTCATTAAGTCGATTGGTGTTATTGTAATCACTTTAAAAATCAGGTATAATTGGGCTTCTCTTTCTGTGACAGGAAGAAAAGTGACTTGTTCCTAATTGGCTGGTCTCCAGTGTATGAGAGAGGTGTTTTCCCAGAATTGCCCTTTGTTTCATGACTTTTGCTCTGTGTGTGTGTGTGTGTGTGTGTGTGTGTGTGTGTGAACCAATGTGCATTCACCCTGCTAAATACCAAATAAACAGTTCTACCCAAGTGTCAACCAATGAGTTTTTGGAACACAGATGACTGACATAGAAGTGAAGACATCTGAGTCACCAATCATCATGGAGGATGCATACCTGGTGCTCCCTAGGCAACTTGCAGGGAGTTCCGCCAATCACACAATCTCCTCTCTGTACCAGTTGTTCTTGCTTCTACAACCATGGGGATCAGCCTTTTAAATCTTGTATTTCAAGGGTTCCCAGAGCCTTTTAAATTCCCTTGATTCCCTAATCCTTGTAAATTCCTTTTACTACCCTAGCCTGTAAATTCCCTTTATTCCCTGAGCCTTTTAAATTTTCATTATTCCTTGAGTCTTGTAAGTTCCCTTTACTTCCTGAGCCTGTGAGTTCCCTTTACTTCCTGAGCCTGTAAATTCCCTTTACTTCCTGAAGACTTTTATGTTCCCTTTATTTTTTGAGTCTCCTTAGCTTCTGTCCTTTGTCTAGGAGGGGATATTTCCATTAAAGGAAACATCTACACACAGTCCTACTCTTAGTTTTTGAGAAGGAGCCGGGGGTTATGAACCAGGATTCTGTGACAGGGAAATGCTGACTCATCACCTTGGACTCATTGAGTTACGGGATGTGAGAGGTTTCCTCCTTGGTGACAGAGACACCTCAGAGGGATATTCTGCCACTCCTGAAAGCCACACCGGAGCATTTCCCCTCTGTTTATCCTGCGATGCTTTCCTTATGCTCAGTGACATGGAGAATAAATCCCCCAGGACAGCTGAAGAATCTCGGATTTTCTGCTCAGCACTGCTGCGTTCTCCAGCCATCCAGTGAAGAACTGAACATGGCGCTCGAGAGATCAGCTACAGGATTTTAAAAAAATAAAAGATTTAGCTCTTTATACTGCTCACCACGAGTATATCTCCCTGTCGAGTTCTTTATTTTGTTTTTATGTCTGTTCTCTTGCTGGCTGCTTTCTTGTTCTTGTTCAGTCTGTCATATTTTACTCTGGAACGGAACGTCTTATTCAGTTAAGAATTGCCTTTGGGAATCTGCTCCTCTAGCATTTGAGAGGCAGGGCAGGAGAATCCCCTGAGTTCACCAGCCAATCTGAGTCATACTGTGAGTTCCAGTCTAGCTGAAGCTGTTTCAAGAACAACAAAACCCTGTAACAATAGCAAACAAAAGGAAAAAGGTGTACAAAGAACCTGATCCTAGCAAGCTGTGTTGAATTGCAGTGGGGCCCTGTGGAATCACGTGGGGAGCAGAAAGGACATTTTCAGTTTGTTATCCATGAGTGTCCTTTTCCTGAATTTCTTCCTTCTGAGAATAATCCTATTTTTCCTAAAGATAAAGGGGAGAAAGTTACTATATGATTTTATGTATCCTAAGGATGTTTGCGTCCACATGGAGCATGTTATTGGCAGGTGTCCCGAGGGTTAACGAGGCAATTAGGAGCTTGGGAACTGAATTGTATCTTCAGCTCTCATACTTATCATTTGGAACCTTGAACTTGCCACCCACTCTCTATCAAATGATAAATGGAAATAATTGGACCATCCATCCCCCTAAGGTGGAACTAAGGAGAAATAACGGTGATGGTTATAAAGTTGCCCCAGAGTACTGGTAGAGAGCAAATGCTTATTATTCCAGCAATTATAAGCTTTTAATCTGGGAACATTTGAGGGCTAAAGTTTACATGTGTGTCAAAGACTAACTTAAGAATATATATTTGACCCCGCTCTTGCTTTTGCCCACTCAGGTGCTGTTTGAACTTGCCCGCTATCATGCCCCCTCCACGATCTTCCTGGACGAGCTGGAGTCTGTGATGAGTCAGAGAGGCATGACTCCTGGGTAACAGACGGGTTTGGTTTGGTTATTTTTTTTTTGGGTCATCATTTCTCCCCTTTATAAGTGTGTGTGATGGTCGGAAGCCCATCGATGTTCACCAGCAGAATGAGCCTATTAATAAGCCCACAAATTTTCTGCAGACACATGGAAAGGTCTTTAAATTAGATCCTGTTAACTGAGTAGCTGATTTAAATAGTTTTTATAACCGGAGGGAGCACCATCCCCCCTTCCCCACAGAGTGGCTTTCAGGCCTGAAGATCATCCAGCCGCAGGATCCCAGGCTGCCATGATGGCCTGGCTGCCTCAAAATAACCTCCTCTGGAGCCGGAGGGCTGCCTGTGGGGACTGGGGCTGGCCCATGCAGCCACAGGATCAGCCGCTTCTGCATTACATTCTCTGGAAGCAGAGGAAACTGATGATTCTTGGACATCTGTCACATGCATTATTTCTAAAGATTAAGTGTTCAAAAATGTTCCCAGAAGGAAGGAGCGCCTCTTGGTTACAAATGCTTCCTGGTTATGCGTTCAAAAGGGCAAATAGGGCTGTTTGTTTGCCTGCTTGATTTTTGTGTGTGTGTGTGACATTGTGTGTGCACGTTTGTGTTGGTGCTTGTACTGTGTGTGTGTGTGTGTGTGTGTGTGTGCATGTATAAGTCAGAAGTCTCTTTCTGCATTTTTTTTTTGTATTTTTGAGAGAGAATGTGCCACTGTGTCTGGCCTTTCATGTGGATGCTGGGAATCAAAACTTAGGTCCTCAGGGCTGGCATTTACCAACTTACCTATCACCTCGGTCCCCATTGTTAAGTTTTGAAAATTTATTTTAAAATATTTTATTAATTGAAATTTTCATACAGTTTGTTTTGCACACATTTGCTCTTAGTTACTCCCTTTAATTTTCCCCCAGATCCTCACCACCCCTCCCTCCTTTTTTTTTTCTTTTTTCCTGAGACAGGATTTCTCTGTGTAGCCCTAGATGCCCTGGAACTTGCTTTGTAGACCAGGTTGGCCTCAAGCTCAGAGATCCACCTGTCTCTGCCTCCCGAGTGCTGGGATTAAAGGTGTACACCACCACAGCCTGGCTCGTGTCTTTATTTTGTGAAAATTATTTATTTAAAAATTCATTGACTCTGACTTGTGCTGACTATATACATCCGTTGGAGCATGGTCGACTTACCAGGAGCCATGCCCTTAATGAAAACTGACTTTCTCTCCCCTAGAAGCCATGGACTGTCCATAGCTCCTCAGTTAGGAGTGCGGGCTCAATGACTGGCTTGCCCTTGCGCAGGTCTGGTGAGGCACTCAGCGCTACCGTGAGGTCTTGAGTATATCTGTCCTGTCATGCCCAGAAGATGCTGCTGATTCTGCTTCTCCCTGATCCCTTCCTACCCCACCCTCTGAAATGGCTTCTGAGCTTCAGGAGGGGAAGGCTGGGCTGAGCTTCAGGAGAGGACGGCTGGGCTGAGCTTCAGGAGAGGAAGGCTGGGACAGATCTGTCCCATTAGTGACCAAGCACGCCACAGTCACTTACTCTCTTCACTTTGACCAGTTTGAGTTTCTGCATTAACTACTGTCTCTCACCCAAAGAAACTTCTCTGAATTACGAGAGCTCCACTAATCTATGGGCAGAGAGTTAGGAATTTAGAGTACAGTTTTATACTATGCCCAGTTAGCGAAATCATAATAGTAGGTTGACCCCTGTGGTCAATGAACTCCCCAACCTTGGGGTATTGGCTGGATTTATAGTAACAGGCATGCACTTTCTCAGTGAATGGGGCCTTAACCTCAATCAGAAAGCAGTTGGTTATCTCCATAACATTCATGTGACTATTGTCATATCAGTCATTACTGTAGTTTACAGGGGTCATAGCTGGATAAGATTGTTGACTCCCAAGCCAGGCATAGTGGTGCACACCTTTAATCCCAGCACTCAGGAGGCAGAGGCAGGTGATCTCTGTGAATTAGAGGCCAGCCTGGTCAATATCATGAATTCCACATCAGCCAGAGATACAAAAACCCTGTCTTGGAAAAATAGTAACAGCCAAAGACTATTGACTGCCGCTCCCTCAGCATCCTACATAGCACCCTCTGGAGAGTGATCCAGTAGGGAGGAAGCTTCCTATACTAACATGATTTCTCAATGTGCTATGACCAATGTGTGTGCTGTCTTCAGCCACAGGGTTTTGCAGTCAAGTTCTGATGGGCACTCAAGAGCAGTAGCAGTAGCCTGCATTGTTTTGGGTTCTCTAGAACACCCTTGACCAACAATAGAGGAGAGGAAAGTTCGGGACTTTTTATTTGACAACCGACGAATGGGTTCCGAGATGAGTATAATTCCCTGTGAGGGACAACTCCAATTAAACTCTTGTATGTATTTGTGTGTGTGTGTACATATATTTATGTACATGCACATACATGTGCTCACACACATATGTTGTATGTATTTTGATCTCATTCTGACAATAAAGATTGATTTGAGTCAGAGAGTGGAGCTAGCCATTAACTGACCAAAATTAACTATAGAGATTTTGGGAGAACTGAGGACAGTTAGGAGACAGGAAGTAGTAAGGCAGGGCTTAGGATCCCAGCCCTTTTGGATGGAGGAACAGAAGAGATAGGAGATCTCAGGTGGCTTCTCCTCTGCTTCTGTGTTTATTCAGGCTCTTACTCTTACTGATATCAGATATCTTACTGATATCTGACTCCCAATTTTTATTGATAAAGAATAATTAAGTAAATGCATCACACATATATATGAAGCATAAAATAGTAAGTTTGCATATAGCTTTCCCAAACATCCTTAGAGTTCCCTTGTATCCTAGACTGGCATTGAACTCAATGTATAGTTTAGAATGATCCTGAACTTTGATTCTCCTGCATCTGCCTCCCAAGTGTGGGATTACACGTGTGAATACACGTGCTGGGGATTGAACCCACGGCTTTGTGTTTGCCAGGAAAGCACTCTCTCAACTTGGTTGATTTGTTATGATCAAAGATACTCTTTGAAATTTTTATTAAATTTGGCACCTCAATCTGGAAATATAAAAAACAGGTGTCTGGAAAATTTCTGTGTAGCTGTATTTACTAGTGACCTTTAATAGTCTGTTAATTGAGACAAAGCCCAGGCTAATAAAAGGCAAAGATTTGCTTGTTGGAAATATAAAAGTAGAATTAGAAAATAATTTGTAAAATTTTATCCAGTGGAAACCACTTTCCCAGCAGGAAAACAGAAGAACGAGGCTGCAGGCAGGAGGGGTGGGCTTTAGGGCTGACTGACATGGTGGACCTGCCAGGATGGGTGGGCTTTAGGGCTGACTGACATGGTGGACCTGCCAGGATGGGTGGGCTTTACGGCTGACTGACATGGTGGACCTGCCAGGATGGGTGGGCTTTATGGCTGACTGACATGGGATATGAACCTGACCTTACTGTGCCTTGTCGGACCCCACTGCAGCCCTCTGCCTTGCTGCATCAGCCTGAAAGGAGCAGCCAGCTGCTCCCAAGCCACAGGCCCCTGCATGCTCTCACTGGTCTCCCCCTGCAAAGACGGGCCTCTCTGGCCTGCCTCAGGGGTGACTAATGGGCATTTCAGGTGCTTTATTTTCACATAAAAAGTAATAAAAAGGTAAATAATACATGCAATGATGATAAAGTGAGGGTTGACACAGAACTAAAAGAAAATAATAGAAATTAAACGTAAACCAGCTGTGTCTACCTGAAATGCCCATTTATTTGCTATCAGAATGGAGCCTGTTTTTCAGCCACAGGGCATTGCTGTGAGTGCCCCTTACGTCAGGAGGGCAAAGGCTGTGCTGTGAGACTGTGAGAGGGCATCCTGTCTCCTTGTCTCTGCAGGGGAGAACACGAAGGGAGCCTCCGAATGAAGACGGAGCTCCTGGTGCAGATGGACGGGTTGGCCCGCTCGGAGGATCTCGTATTTGTCTTAGCAGCGTCTAACCTGCCGTGGTAAGGCATCAAGAGAACACGTCGCACGTATGTTCGTGATCCACTGAATACAGATAAAGATTTCAGGGAGAGCTATAGGAGGAGGCACTGAAGTAACACACAAAACTGGATCCCTAGTGGGTGTGGGTGACAAGGAGCCAATCTCCCGTGGCTATAAAGACCAGTGTGAAAGTGGGCAGCGCCAGTCCCAGGGTTTGGGCCCTAAACTGTGTAAGGGTAGAGTCGAGCTCATCCAGAGGCACGCATGCGTTCATCTCCCTCTGCCCCTGGCCGTGGTCCTGCCACCTGACTGCCCTGAGGTGATAGACGGTAGCCTGGAGTTGTGAGCTAGAGAAGCCCTTTCTCCCTGAAGTCACCTTTGTCAGTTTTTTATATTATTATTAAAGTAACAGAAATTAGGACATAGGAGGGACTATAGGTTTTTTTGAATCAGGCAGAGGTTTTGCGTAGACCTATAAATGCTTAATATCTCTAGTTCTCAAAGAACATTTCAGAAATAGCGGCTTGATTTTTATTGGTATTAAAATTAAAGTTTTTTTTTTAAGTTAGGAGAAAAATTCTTTCTCTAATGCCATATAGTAAATAGAAAACTAAATAATCTCTAATTGAAAATATAATCTACTCTCAGAGTTTCCTATTCAAACTGTATCCCAGAGTGGTTTAAGAACAATTCTAGAAGAATTGGGAAATAAGAGATGTTGATTAGGGGAAAACAATATCTACTCAGAGAATATATTTTTAAAATGTTATAATGCTCTTACAGTTCTTGGAACATTTTCACATTATTATTTTTTATGTCCCGGATAGGGAAGGAGATGCATAAGAAAGCATTCTTAGAGGGTGACCAAGGTCATGAAAGGCAAATCAGCCGGTGGTCAACAGCAGTGAACAGGGCTGTTTCATCCCACTGTGCCCTATAGCAGTGAACAGTACAGGGCTCTCTCACCCCACCCCAGACAGCAGTGAGCAGAGCAGGGCTCTCTCACCCCACCCCATACAGCAGTGAGCAGAGCTGGGCTCTCTCACCCCACTCCATCTCCTTTTCCATATTTAGGGACAAACAGAAAGCTCCTTTGATCATGCTAATCCTCCGGGTCCCAAACAAGAAGAGACAGAGACCAATTTTAGGCAATCCATGTTTAATCTGTTCCTTTAGATATGTTCGCAGTCTGAACCTGGCCCACCTCCCTACACATCTGTAATATGTGTTCTCTTGTGCTCAGATGACTAGCATTTAACATTTAAAGATTTGTTTATGCACAATGCTAAAAGTGGAGTCCAATAGAGAATTGAGATTTCAGTGTTTAACTAAACATCTTTGGAAGTCATTGATTGGTGTTAAGCTTCCATTGGTGTTGCAATGGCTAGAGTCACGATGGGATCACCCGTGTTAAAATTCCATTCAGCCAAACTGGGACAGTTGTTACTTAATCTTCTAAGAAATCAAGAGAGATCACATGACAGATTCCTAAACAGGCCAGTTTCACATAAATGCTTCAAGGCTCTGGGTTGTACCCCCTGCCTTGCCACCGCCAGACACAGCAACCCACTAACTGGGCGTTGGCCAGTCAGTTGTTATTTTCTTTCTGTTGTTTTGTGTGTGTGTGTGTGTGTGTGTCCTTGTCCTCTACTTTCCAAGGATTGTTACTTTCAAATAGTTCCAAACTGCTTTTGCTTTTGTGCCTTTGTTCTGCGGCCTGGTGGCTCTGGGTGTTTACTAGGGAGGGTGGGAGACTGTATGGCTCCTAATACAAGCGTGGCAGGTCTGTACCTTGAGAGACTTACACACACATTTTCCAGAAGAATAGAGAGCCCTCCCCTCCATGTGAATTCAGTAGCTCCTGCAATGTTCTGTGCGACTGATTGGCCGGGGTCCGCTGTTGTCTTCGTGCTCCTTCCTGCTCTAAGTACTCTAGGCTAAAACTGGGGCTGATTCAGTTCAGCAGATTTTCTTCACATGTCACCTCAGTATCGGGAGCATCACTCTGCATGGCATCCCTAGGTGACATTGTCTTGTTTCTCACTTTTGGCGATGCCATGATTGATCTGTGGGTTCAGGTGTATTGGTCTGGTTCCTCTGTGGTACATCTCTCTGAGTTTAGCATCCCTCGATCAGGGTTGCCTCAGTGCTTAAGAGTACTTGTTGCTCTTACAGAGGATTCAGGTCCTATTCCCAGCACCCATGTATGGCTCACAATCATCTGTGCTCCAGTCCTGGGGGATCCAGCGTCCTCTTCTGACCTTCCCCCATACCAGATAAACATATATGTAGGCAAAACACTCATACACGTAAAATATGTTAAAATGGTATTAATGAACCTTCAAAGCTATTCTTTGTATTTTGATTAAAACTCTCTGACCTATAACCTTAAACTGAGCATGCTCAGAAATGTGGACCTTAGCGAGTATACTCAGAAATGTGCCTTCCCCTAAACGTGCTTTCCTCCTTGAATGTGTGGGTGACCTGGATGAAACCTTCATGTTCTGCTCAGGAAGAACAACGCCTTGCAGAAACCCTGGTGCATGCTTGCTCTTCCTCCCCTGCAATACCAGCTCTGTCCCCGACTTTTCATCTTCTCTTGGCTCTGGACTCACCACGACACGACCCGTTGCTGGAGGTGCCGGTTTTATCACTGCCTCTGGACGACAGCTAGAACACTCTCTGTAAGGGAGCTGTCCCTCACCCCACCGGGCTGCTTTGTTACCCCAAAATGTCGACAAAACAGGTGTCACCACTAGCAGTGAGTGAGCCCCCTCCCCCTACTTCTCCAAACTGAGAACTACACTGTGGCATTTTGCGCCTTTCTGGTTTTTGTTTTGGCATGATCGTATTTTATAGCCCAGGCTGACCTTGATTTTGAGGTCTTCCTGCCTCTGCCTCCGGGCTGCTGTGATTACAGGAATGCAGTGTTGCCTCTGGTGAGTCTATGAGTTTTGAAAACCACTTTCTTGAGCACATGCTGCACAGCTCATGGCCAGGGCTTCTCAGTGGTCATGCATTTGATTGTGCTGTATCTTTTCATTTTGTTATTATTATCATCACTCTTTGTATCATTTAGAAGAGATTAAAGCCAGGTTCTTGTCTGCCTATGTTCTGAAAAAATGCCTATCTGTTATTATAGGGTGTAGCAGAACTCTCTAGAGGAAAAGAACCAATGTCTATCATTAAACGGGATTTGTCCTGGGCCCAGTTGAACACACCTATTATCCCTCCTGAAGCAGAAGCAGGGGGATCTCCGTAAACTCCAGCTAGCCTGCTCTGCATACTGAGTTCCAGGACAGGGCTCCATAGTGAGACCCCGTCTCAAAAACAAACAAGAAAACAAACCAAAGGGATGTGTTCGCTAGAGTGACTTCCAACTGATAACAGCTGGATAGTCCAACCCTGGCCATCTGCACACTGGAACGGTGGAGAGCCTGGCAGCTGCGCAGTTCATCAGGTGGAGGCCTTAGCAGTTCCAGTCTGTGTGGAAGACCTGAAAGAGCCCATGAATCACTGGTCCTCTTTGGAAGGCCAAACAAGCTAGAGTCTGACGTCAATTAGAGATGGTTCAGCAGCTTTAGTGACGTGTACTGACCAGCAAGAAGCTAGCCAAGCAGGCCGAAGCGGCTCTGCATTCTCCTCAGGCCTTTTTATACTTGGGCCATTTGATCTTGAAGAGGGTCTTCTCTCAGGTAGCCCTCCCTATGAATGCCTCAGTTCACAGACCTGCTCAAAGGCTTGTCTCTTAGCCTCGTTAAGTGGACTGATGAGATTTACCATCAGGCAGGAAAGACAAACCTAGATGATGTAAGCCACTCACTCAATGAAGCCTCTCAAGGCAATCAAGAAAGGCAAACAAGAAAGACCTGTCATGGTAGATAGTTCTAGCACTTGGGAGGTGGATATAGGAAGGTCAAGAGTTCAAGGTCATTATTGGCTGTGATTTTGAAGTCAGCCTCAGCTACATGAGGGGTTTGGGGTAGAGAGAAGGTTTGTTCTAAAATCTCTTGTGGTAACAATTACATAATCCTGTGGGTGCACTGAAGCCATGCGCCACATAATGGTGCCTCAGGCTGTGATGGGCGGCATATGCAATGGTCCCACAAAGTAACAGTGGAGCCACCGAGGGTCCACACCACACAGTGAGAGCACTTCCCTCTCATGTCTGTTGATGCTGGTGTCAGGAAGCTGACTCAGGTGCTAACTGTGTGCACAGTCCAGGGCATAGCATGCACAATACAGGGCATAGTAAAGAGAACACACAACTGTTACAGATCTACATGTTTTAGTAAACGTGTTTGCTACTCTAGCCTTTGATTATTTTAAAAGCTACAACTTCTAGCTATTTAAAAACATTTTCCTGTGACTAGCACTCCATGTTTATAGGAGCAACCTCACACATCTTGCATTTATCTCTTACACAAAAGATTGCTCACCATAGAAATTGTTCTGTTTGACTTTTTTTTTTCCTTAACAAAATACCAGAATATCCTGGAGATCTTTCCAAATAAGGCCACAAGTTCTTCCTTACTCCTTATATAGTTACGTAGTCCTCCATTGTGAATCTGAAAGTTTCTCTGTCACTGGCCATGGCAGCAGGGTCGTTCCTACTCCTGCTATTGCAGACAGTGAGGCAGTAAGGAGTGGGCATGGATAGGCCACTTTTGTTTCCACCAGGGCAGCTTTGGGGTAGCTTCCTGGAAGGAAAACCACCAGGTCAGAGGGTAATGCACATGGAATTATGGTGTAGCTGCCAAATTTCCCTCCATAGAGGTTGTGCCGTCGTGCGGTCCCACTAGTGTCTTAGTTTCATTACTTAACATTATAGTGAGAGCATTTCCAGTGTCATTAAATAATCCTTGAAAATTGGATTTCATAATGGCTGCCCAGAATTCCCACATGTGGACTATACCATCATTTAATCATTCCTTTCTGTCGGACATGTATGACGTTCCCAAACTTTATTCGTAAGTAACTCGGAAATGAGCTTCCTTGCATAGGAACGGGAGGGAATAGG